TAAATATTCCCGGGTCAGAAGTCCTACCTTTCTAAATATTCCCGGGTCAGAAGTCCTACCTTTCTAAATATTCCCGGGTCAGAAGTCCTACCTTTTTAAATATTCCCAGATGAGTAGATAAGCTGCTGTGAGGCTGCTTTGCCTTCAGTGAGGCAGGGCCTTTGACCATTCCCGCTCGCCTTTCCAAGTAGGGAATTAGCCGGAACACACTTCAACAACCTCAGCAAAGGCAAGATTAGGCCTCAAAAGGTATTAAGAAGCCAGTATGGTGGCTAAATGAAACGTAAGACTTTGACCTGAAAGGGAACCCATTCTGCTTGCACTAAAAACCTTGCTTGCTGAGTTTGGAGTCTCCCCCAACTGGAGGCTCCTGCAGAACTTTATTCCTTCCACTAGTGTAGGGAGAGGAGCCCCCGGGTGATGCACACAGCTGGCTACTAGTCCAAAGCTTGGCAGTTGGAACCCACCCCAAGGTACCTCAGAAGAAAGGCCTGGCAATCTGCTTCTGCAGGGTCACAGCCTTGAACACCCTGTGGAGCAGTTCTGCTCTGCACAAATGGTGTCACCACAAGTTGGAATCGCCCTGACAGCAAGCAGCAACGACATCAGCAGCACAGAGAGAGAGCAGGTCACTTGACAGTAGGTTTCAGGAAGAGGTAAGAGGGTTTGGAAGACTGAAGAAGTGATTTTTACGGGCAGCTGTTTTCCCTCATTCCTCCCATTCTCTCCACAAAGGGATACAACCTGGCAAAGGGCACAGGTTATTCAAGGACTCAGATCTGTGGGTGACATGTCCCAGCTTCTGTCTGGCAACCAGTTAGCTAAATCTTGAGTCAAGGTGCAGCGGGCAAGTGTGCCTGGCTCCCGCCCTGCGTCCTGCCACCTCAGCACTGAGCTCCGCTGGTGCACATGGGGCTTCTCCCCCAAGTGGTTCTTTTTCACTCTGCGTACATTTCTGGTTACAAAAGCCATACCAGGTCCCAAGTTCCTTGAGGTCCGAGTGAGCGTGTCAGGGCAGGAATACCAGGGGACCACAGCAGTGATGTCTTGGGGTGTGTGTACAAAGAAGGCTGTCTCCTCTATAAGGATGTCGGAGATTTTTTGGAGGAGAAACTAACACGTTGTAATCTAATCTGATGTGATGTTTTCGTTTAGGAAGGAAACCAGATTGTTGCTTCCCAAGAGATCATTTTGTATTATTTTTGCTAATACCGTTTGCTAAAAAGCAACTACATGAATCCTGTGAATTAATTTATAAGAAGAGACATGAAGCAGTTTGGGAATATGTGCACCTTGTAAATCAAACCCTTATTTACCAAGCAGGTTAATACTGTTATTAGTTCAAGTTGCTATATGGCAGGTGCTTAACCCATTTACAATGGTGAATTTCAACCATGAATTGTCACTTTTATATGACATGGGAGTTTTTCCAAACCTAGTTCGGTTTCTATGAATACCTTCTCTCAATTGTACAATGACTTCATCCAATGACCTGTGGAGGACAAAAATGTTCATTATTGTCCCAATAAGTTGAGACTGCTTTGTACACTTTTGGCAAACGTGGATTTATAAAGATTTTGTCTATACTTGTATGCTGGTGAGATTTAATTTACTGGAGGTGGTTTTCAGTCAAGTATACAGTTTGCTGAATTTTTGGCTGAATCAAGAGTTTCTACTCCAAAGATGTTTATAGCTAATGTTGAAGGGAACTCATCTTTTCTCTGTGGGTACCTGCTGGCATCAGTTGCTCTGGAAGACTGGAGCATTTTTAAGAGCTGGGGCCATGCTGTTTCTTCTCGTAGTTGCCACAAAACTGTGTATGACAATTGCTTTTCTTAAGTAGTTCACAGATCCATTTCTATTTGACCACTGGAGTGTATATTACAGCCAGTATCTGGACCTTTGGATCCCTGGTGGTACACTAGTTAAGAGCTTGAGTGCTAACCAAAAGGTCGGCAGTTCAAATCCACTAGCCACTCCTTGGAAACCCAATAGGGCAGTTCTCCTGTGTCCTATAGGGTCACAATGAGTGGGAATCGACTCCACGGCAACAGGTTTATCTAGACCTTTGTACTTGTGACGTTTCACTACATTTCGCTAGTCTTGGTGAAAGGCAAAGAAGGATTCCTTCTATATCAGTCTTCCTTATGGATTGAGCTGCATCTTCCAAAAGTAAATGCTGAAGTCCTCACCCCTCTACCTGTGAATATGACCCTGTTTGGATATAGGGGTTTTCTTTTGTTAATGAGGACATGCTAGAGTAGGCTGGGTCCTAAACCTAATTCCATCTGACAGATGTCTTATAAAAAGAGCGGACTAGACACAGTGACACACACGGGGGACAGAGACCATGTGAAGAACTGTCTACAAGCCAACCAACACTAAGGAACACCCAGGACTTCTGACAAGAAAGGACCCTCCCCTAGAGCTGATGCCCTCATTTGTACTTCTAGTCTCCAAAACTGTGAGACAATAAATCTCTGTTCTTCAAAGCCACCCACTTGTGGTATATTTTGTTACAGCAGCACTAGGTAACCAAGACTGTCTTCTGTTCTGCGTAACAAAATACTGCAAACTTAGTGGCTTAAAGCAACACCCATTTATTACCTCACAGTTGTGTTGTCAGAAGTCTAGGATGGCATGGCTTGGTTCTCATTTCGGGGTCTCACAAAGCCAAAGTCAAGGCGCTGGCTGGCTGCTGTCTTACCTGGAGCTCGGTGTCCTCCAGACTCATTCCTGTATTGGCAGTTGGAGGACTGAGGTCTCCATTTCCTTGCTATCAGCCAAGGGCCCCTCACAACTTTTTAGAGGCCATTGGTGACTCCCTTCATCTTCAAGGGAGCAACAGCTTGTCAAATACTTGAATCTTTCTCACACTTGGAATCTCTTTTAGCGTCCTTTTATGCTACAAGCTAGAGAAAACTCTACTTTTAAAGAACTCATGTAGTTATGTCATATTTTAGTTATCTAACAGAAATACCACAAGTGGATGGCTTTAACAAAGAGAAACTTATTCTCTTACAGCTTAGGAGGCTAGAAGTCCAAATCCAGGGTGCCAGCTCCAGGGGAAGGCTTTCTCTGTCAGCTCTGGGGGAAGATCCTTGTCATATATCTTCCCCTGGTCTAGGAGCTTCTCAGCACAGGGACCCCAGGTCCAAAGGATGTGCTCCCTTCCTGGTTCTTCATTCTTGGTGGTAGAAGGTCTCCTTGTTTCTCTGCTGGCTTCTCTCTTTTATATCTCAAAAGAGATTGACTCAAGATACAAGCTAATCTTGCAGATTGAGTCCTGCCTCATTAACATAGCAAAACCAAAAAAAACTCGCTGCTGTTGAGTCAAACCCATAGGGTTTCCAAGGAGCAGTTGGTAGATTTGAACTGCTGACCTTTTGGTTAGCAGCCGAACGTGTAACCACTGTGCCACTGGGGCTCCCCTCATTAACATAACTACCTCTAATCTTGCCTCATTAACAACACAGAAGTAGGATTTACAACACATAGGGAAATCACATCAGATGACAAAATGGTGGACAGTCACACAATACTGGGAATCATGGCCTAGACAAATTGATACACATTTTTGCGGGACACAACCCAATCCATAACAGGCCCACCAAATAATCTGCTTTATGATTAACTCAAAATCAACTGATTTGGGACCTAATTACATCGGCAAAATCCCTTTGCCTTGTAATGTAACATAATCGTGGGCATAACACTAGGGGGCAGAGATCATGGGAGCCATCCTTTACAACACTCTCTATAAAACTTCAAAATGTTAAATATTCAGGTTCCCAGCATCCCTTGCAACTAAAATACAGCGATATGAAGGAAATGCCAAGTAGTTGCATTTGTATTAGTATACATCAATCAGATACATCTTTGCTGGACTTTTCAC